TTCTTTTATAAAGTATTTACCATATTATTTGAGGCTCACCATCAGTAGATTAAACATGATCTAGTAAACACCTATCTCCTAGCCAGTATCTGATTAAAACCACAATGCTTTTAAGTAGAACCAAATTAAATATAAAGGTTCAGGTAAAAACTTTTAGAAGACACAGTAAATTTCAACTTTTTTTTTAATACACATCCTTTGTGGGAAAGAACTCCCATCCTTTTGTGTTTTTTTAAACAATTTAATGAAAATTTTCTTGTAGTGTACACATTGTACTTGGCTTCATCTTCCATCCCACAGAAGACATTTGTCCCAGAGTGTTATTTTTGATGAGGATTTTCAGTGTACCTCATATTTGGATTTTCAGAGTGACTTCTCAGCAAATTCAGCATTCTGCCAATATATAACAGTTCTCTGAACTGAGATCTAGGATTTCCAGTGTACATGCTATCAGGGTCCTCCAGAATTTCTACATAACTAATGATGTGTTACTGCTGGTAATGCAATACTGCGTACCTTGAAGAAAGTACTTTGCTACTTTGCGGTGTTTACACAGCCTAACCTTTAGGAAGATTTATCCCATCACAACCTATGTCAGTTTCATCCTGTAACCACTTTCATAGTTTCAGTCTTTGACAAGCATCCAAAAGCATTCCTGGTTCACTTTATGCACTTAATTTCAAAATCATAGAATCATAGAATCATTAAGGTTGGAAGAGACCTCCAAGATCATCGAGTCCAACAGCGGAATGTTGGAGTTGATGGAGAAAAAAAAAAATCTTCAGGAGTTTATTACTTACTAAAGTTATACCACCTGTTTTCATTGAATTTTTGAAATACAGGCACAAACAGGTCTGGGCCAAACCTTTAGAGCTGAACTTTGGTAATTTTGGGTCTGAATTCAGTGTGATTACACAGCAATAGCCTACCACTTGTGTGTTGTAGCCATTTGTTTTCTGTCCAGTAGCAAATAATTTGAGAGCGCTGTGTGATATTTACCATGGAAGGCAAAGCCAAGTAAATGTATTGGTAGGCAATTCAGAAAAGACAGGGATTGATTCTTGGATGCTGCAGTGCTGTCTGTGCCTCTCTGAAGTAAATCCCGTGCAGACAATCCATACACTTGTCAGAGAGGATGGGGCCTTAGTGCTGTGATGGCAGGTGGCACTACTGTCCTGTGGTGACGAGATGCTACACATCAGGTGAGAAGGAAAAAACTTGATTGAAAAGCAATGCAGAAATCCAAGAGGTTGCTTTTCTGAGCAAGCGACTGCTCTAATGTCCTTTGGTGTAGTTTCATGGGGAGAATGAAAGCATGAAAGAGCTGGTGTAGTTTGTAGTTGTTGAGCAAGACTGAATGCTCATAATCTCCTGTACTGAGAGATAAGCCAGGAGGTTGTGGCAGGCATTTTGTTTTGCAAAGATTTATTACAATCTTGTAGTAAATCTGTGGTTACAGCATTCGTTTGCTGGACATTCTTCAAGAAAATGAGGAAACACATTGAAAAAATGTTCACCTTGGGAAAGCTGGGGCTCTGCTTCCATAACCTGTGGCCCAGGGTGAAAAATCATGTTTCCAAAAAAAGTTATACAGGGTTTGCATGCCTAAACGTGCCTAGGAAATGCCTACCTAGCAGCAGCGTACTGCACAAACTGAGGGAGCAGAGCAGTAGAGGCATTTGGTAACTGAATGAAATTAAAATAGATTGAATTTTGATCAGGGAGCAGGCAACTACACAGGAATAGATTGTTCCTTTCCATTATCTTTGGTTAGAGAATTTCTACTGCCCTGGTTTGAAGCAGGGCATTTTTAGGGTTGATTGAACACCTGAGTGTAGTTACAGGTACTGCTATTTCACTTAATTCATTTTCACTGAAGTCAGCTGTGACTGACCAATAAACCCCTATAATGGAAGAAGGCTCAGAGGAGCTGGGCAAGGGCGGTGTGCCCATGATGCTCAGGGAATAATGCAGGATGTGACTGACCACAGCTGTTGCGAAGAAAGCTGATTTTATCTCAACACAAAGGGGACCGAGGGTGGCCTTTGCTTTA